GTTCTGGTTCTCAAGCCCTTACTACTGATTTCTTCTGTGTCCCTGGCGACACTGCACAGGAAGGCAGCTAATTCAGCTCACCTTGGAGCTCGGGGAGCAGCTGGAAGTGCCTGGCTTGGCGCTGAGCAGAACAGCACCTGCAGGAATCAGGCCTCACAATCTACTTACCACTCACTCTGAGCTCCTCGGAGCTCCTTTCCTCTTAAGTTTAGGCTGTAAGGCACTCACCTAGGGCCTGGGGTGGGAGCTCCCAGTCGGTTATCTGTCTACAACCACCTAAGTCCTGACACCTTCTCCATCTCCTCTTTAGCTGGAGAAGAGAAGCCCCCCTAGAGCCCTTCTCTGGCAATGTAAGAGACCAAACCCCACCTGCCAGGTTCCCCTGGAGAGATGCTGTGCAGCTCATCTAGCCGCCCTCTTCTGGGGAGATTCAAAGCCACTGAAATGGCCAGAAGCTTCTCAGCTATATCCCCTTAGGACAACCTGACTGCAGGAGAGGGTGTGAGAAAAGAGGGCAGTCACAGAACGTGGCACTTTCTGTTTCTGACCTGCTTTCCTTTCCTTTCATTTCTGCAGGAGTTTCGCTATGGTCTGTATGAGCTGGTTTTGCTTCAGTGCTTCAATCTGCCCCGGCAAGATTCATTTTATCCTGCACACGCTGCCTTTGCTGGGGCTACGAGCACGTCCTCTGTCTAGTGGAGGCTGAGCCAGACAGGGAAGCTCCAGGTCCAGAGCCTTGCAGTAGGTAGAACTGGAGGCCACCCTGAGCTTTGCTGGACTCCAGAAAGTGCTTGCCAGCTGTGAACTTCATCAGTTCTCCTCTGCCCAAGCGCTCTCCTGGAAAAATCGAGTCATAACCAAGGCCCTACAACCCGATTCCCAAACTTCCAGATACCAACCAGCTTGCCCATATCTGTCCCTAGGGCTTTCCTTTCACTCTTCCCCAGACACACACACAGGCTTGAATTACATTTCAAGCCTGGCCCCCTCCCAGCCAACCCTTTCCATGCACCCTGAAGCAGGGAATCTTGAGGCCAGATGGTGGGAATGGTGTCAAACAACAAACCTGGGATGTTTTGTCCCTCCAGGAGAGGGGAGAAAGAAACCAAATCTGAGAGTCCCAGAATATTCCAGGGATCTTAAGATGCTCTTATGAGCAAGAGTCACCCGGCATTGTTGGGGATGAGACCCAGACACTCAAACACACACTCTCCTATGGCGCACACCCTACCACTGAGTCACAACCCCAGCTCCAATGAGCTACTCTGAGGGATTTAAATGAAAAGGGAATACGTTGACGTGATGGTTGAAGTACTATGTGGGAATAACAGAAATAGAGGCAGGTTAATCCCTGGCAGCACCATTGGTAGGCTCACAGACTACTTAATGTCAAGTCTCATGATAGCAAGACACCGCAAATGAAAGCACTACTCAGGATAGGATGAGGAATGTTGTCATTCTATTACCCGGCTCAGTCTGGGACAGGTAAAACTGCTTTCAGCCTGTGTCAGTCCTTCTGCTGGCTGCAGAATGCTTATTTTGTTGTTGTGGGAAAGTAATCTTTTGACTGAAGGGGCTCCTAAGCACTACTGGGTGGGGGGCACAAGTGTCACTCCTGATGTTTGGGCAACAGGACAGGGTGGTTCAGTGCAGGAGCCTGACAGTGTGATGGTGCTTTACCCAGCAGAGCTCAGGGGGTCATGCTGTGCCATACCAGCACTGAACTCAGCTCCAGTCCCCTGAACTAGCCCCCTCTCTGCCCATCCATCGCCTGCACAACCCTTTCCCCGTGGAATGTGGTTTTGTCAACTCACCAAGAACTTAAAGGCATTGTGTCCAAATTCAGGAAGGACATTAGACGTGGGAAGGCCCTTAAAACATGTCCACTACGGTGCTTACCCAGTTCAATTTTTTTCCCACCACCACTTGTTACAGATGAGGATGCTGAGTCCTAGAGGGAAGATCAACTTTCTTTTTAGCCACTTGGCTAAGGCAAACTGGTTTCATCTCCTGTGCTATTACCAATCCACCCATTTCCATCTGAATTGAGTCTAATAGGGAGATCTTGAGGCTGTCAGTACATTTCTCCCTGCAAAGCTTTGATGTGTTTCCTCTGGGCTACTGTAGTTTGTGGATTACTAAACACACTAACAATATCCTGTGTTGGGCATTTTCATTTTGTCAGATGAGGGTATGTAACGACAAGAGGCTACCTGTGTATGGATTCTGGACTTCCCAATCTAGCTGCGGGTGAATTACAGATAGCCCTGTTCTGCCAAAGGCCTAAATCAGAATCTTGAACATGGAGTAAGTCACCCTCTTCAACCACCTATGCCTCTGCCCCATTTATCAGTCAGCCACAACCGGAATCACAAAGTGATCTGTCACCATTACTTTTTTCTTTTTTATGTAGGAGTACTGCTATTTATTCAGCCACTGATTAGCTGATTGAATTGTGCATGAACTCCACCTTACTTTTTTTTTCTTCATTTTTTATCATTTATTGACTCACCGTGAGAGCAGTTACAAAGCTTTCGGGTCTACGCCTAGGTCATACGATGAAACACCCGTCCCTTCACCAGTGCCCATTCTCCACCCCCCAACAACTCCAGTATACCCCTCTCTCCCCCTCCCTCTACCTGTGGGGCAGATGATTTCCACATTACTCTTTCTCTACTTTGATCACATTCAATATTTCGACACTAGACCCACCATTATTATTTGAGATTTTACGCCAACACTCAGATCTGCCGAAAAGGCAACAGTAGACAATTTGTTTTCTATTGTTGGTTATGAATAACATATGATGTCCCATGGCTGCAGTAGTGGCCGTGCGATTTTGAAATTCTGAAATTTTAACACTTAAATCTGGAGGAATTTCTGCCAAAATCTGCTGGGTTACAAGATCTGCTCCTGAGTCTCTGGGATTATGGTCGTTAAGCAGCTTGATCAGGAGCCAGAAAGGCCATCTGTGGGCAATGACATAGGGGGTCTCATTGGGGTGGGGAGGACAGGCCTGGCTCCACCCCCATCCTGTGAGGCCCAACAAGTTTCATCACTGTGGGCCCAAGCCTGACTGTCCAATGGCCTCTGGAGGATGATGGCCACCGAGCCGTCAAGGGGAGCAGGTGGAGTGACGACACCCTTTCCCCCCTGGGGTGGCCTGGTGACAGTAAGGTACTGTGGGGTCCGGATGCATTTCTGCCAAAAGCTGGGTTTCAAGATTTGTTTCTGAGTCTCTGGGATCATGGCCGTTAAGCAGCTTGATCAGGAGCCAGAGAAGCCGTTTGTAGGCGATGACTTGCGGTCTCGTTGGGGTGGGGAGGACAGGACCGGCTCCACCCCCATCCCGTGAGGCCCTGCGTGTCTCGTCACTGGGGGCCCAAACCTGACTGTCCAGTGGTCTCTGAAGGATGGTGGCCACTGGGCCGCCAGGGGGAACAGGCCAAGGCACAAAACCTATTCCCACCTGGGTTGGCTCAGCACTGGTAACCTACTGCAGGGACCAGATGCATTTCTGCCAAAAGCCGCTGGGTTTCAAGATTTGTTTCTGAGTGTCTAGGATCATGGCCATTAAACAGTTCAATCAGGAACCAGAGAGGGCATGCCTCCAATTACATTGCTGAGCTGGAGGTGGTTTGTGTGTCTCCCACATACCTAACTTTTGGCCGTTTACTTTTTTGGTAAACTTTGCCCCCAGTTTTTGGGGTCTGGCCAAAGGCACAGCAGCAATTTTGGGGTATCTGAAGGCCTGACAGTGCCATCAGGTTGCTGATGCACTCGCCTCACAGGTACAGACTGACCTGCTGGTGGCACCATACCCCCAACCATTACTTTTTTCATCAGAACTCCCAGACTCAAATTCTAGACTTGGAAATCTCTAAATCCCCCCTAGGCTATTGGTGTGGCAGCACCAATCACAATTTATAAATCAACACTGAACCTGGTTGTCACTTTCTCTTACTAACCAGTTTGACATGAATGCGTGTGGGGTGGGGGGTGGGTGCTGGAATTAGTACAGTGGGCAGGGTGTTAGCTTTCCAGGAAGTCATCAAGGGGTTTGATCCCTGGCATCCCATATGGTCCAACAAGCTCTGCCATGAAGGGCTTCTGAGCATGGAGTCAGGAGTAACTCCTCTGAACCACAGGGTGTGGCTCCCCCCAACCAACCAAGAAGCTCAGAAATCCTGCCTGCAACTTCAAAGCCTCTAGACTCAGGCTTGGCATAGTATCAGATGTGACTGAACTTTTGGTTTGGGGGAGAACACCTGGCTGTGTTCAGGTCTTACCACTGGTTCCTTACACAGGGGTCTCTCCTAGTGGTGCTTGGGGAATCTTTTATACTTTCCAAAGGATGTTCAGAAGGCCCAGGGGGTCCCTCCGAGCTCCTCTCGGCTCAGTGGACTTATGTGGTGCTGGGGATTGGGAATGAACGAGTGGGACACACAAAACCTTGTACTCTCAGATCAACACGTTACTGTTTTAAAATGGTGTTTTCCCGTCTATCAAATGGAGTAACCTCATTTACTCTAACCTGGCTTGGTACTTTTATCCATGACCTACCAGTTGAAGCCCAGCACTCAGTTTCCTATTTGCAAGTAATGACTTTCCTAACTGGTCACTTTATCCCAATGTCCAAAATGATGGCCCCAAATAGGCCACCAGCTAAGCACAGACCCAGTGTTCTCTTCTTGCACAAACCTCACAGTGGAGAGTGCCTTGACTCTTACCTGCTTTCCTCCAGTAACTGGCCCACTTCCATTAGATCCCTGAACCAGCCCAGCCAAGTTTTTCTAAAAGTCCTTCCTGGAGCATCTTGCGGGAGAATCTCCTCCCACCAGATTCTCAGAAAGCACCTGAAATAAACCTTTCTATAGCTGGAACAGCAATCTTCCCACCTTCCACTTGTACAGCTTTCTCACAAATTCTCTGTAGTTTTATCACGTTACTGGTCACCAAAGCAATCAGGCTGCTACACAGTAGTTTAAGTTGACACAGAATTCCTGCACTTATTTAATGACACAAAGCATACATTACAAAACAGTGGTTACAAATAGTGGGTAGAAGATGATCTCACTGCTGATAAAAAATTAACAAGTATATCAAAACTCTGTTATATTCCAAAATATCAACAAACACTGAGTTTTATTCAGTGACTATTCTGCCCTTTGCTTTTATATATTTTCTGAAACATGATTATTTCCCCAACAAAAGACAAGTCACTGTGGTTAATGAATGCCAGGAATTCAGTGGTCCAAGACTGAAATGCAGCTTAGGTCTGCTGGCTGATGCGAAACACTGCTCTTTTCCTTCCGACTGGAATGTTCCCATTTCATATCCTCAATGTCCTTATTTACATACGTATCTATGAATGCTAACTGGCATAAAAGCAATGATGCTAGCCACTTTGGTTGTGAATTGCTACAAAATACAACGACCACTGGGTAGGTATAAAAACACCCTAGAAATGAGACATAACACACATTAGGAGTTAAGTACTATAGTGTACTACTACAAAAAAGCCCATTCACAGAAAGCAGATTTTAATTATTTTTCTCTATTTCCAGTTTTCACTGTGCATCTAGTTATGATTCAAGGATCTAGAAGATGCCTTTTTTTCTCAAAAGACCCACGAATATCAATGTGCATTGTCCGAGGGCCTGGCTTAAATTTACCAATCATCTACTTTTCCTTCTAAGTACTTAGAAGGATCAGATGGTATTAACTAAAACACGGGAAATGAACGCTGCTGAATGAGCGCCTCCACTCTTTTTTTTTTTTAAACGTAGGGGTACTGCTATTTATTCAGCCATTGATAAGCTGGTTGAATTGGCGCCTCCATTCTTTGTTTCTGTTTTTTTCCTAAAAAGATCTCTGCTAAGCCATCAGTTGGAGAACCTATATGGGTGTAAATGAAGTTCAAAATCCTCAGATCCTTGGACGTCCCCACCCCCCCCCATTAAAAGGTGCTTAATTAGAAACAGCCCACATTTCTTAGCAATTGGGGGGAAACATTGAAAACAGGCTCATTGTTTACAAATGTGTTATATATTAAAATAAAAAAATCTCCACCTTTGACACATACAGTGGTCTTTATGAACATCCTCCGGCTCTCACCCCTGTTCACAGCAGCATTTTTTTTTTAGGAGAGAGTAAAAACTACTCTAAGGCCCAGGAAACAGCAAACCAACAAATATACGAAGGCAACTGACCACCACCGCCAGTCCGGTGTGCTAGGTCATCTGTCCACCACTGCAGCTTAGCACAGTAATCCAAACTGCACGAGACTTCAGATACCAGGAAAAGAAAAACGGTACAAAAAAAAAAAAAAAGAATATTAAAATGGCACTTTTGTGTTTTGGGCCACACCGGGTGTGCTCGGAACTTTCTCCTGGCTCTGCACTCCGGGGTTACTACTTGCAGTCTTCGGGAGACCACACAGGGTGCCCGGGAAGAAACCAAGGTTGGCTGGGTGCAGGGCAAGCGCCCCACTCGCTGTACCACCTTTTTTGGTTTTTGGGACACACCTGGTGATGCTCGAGTTACTCCTGGCTTTGTACTTAGGAATTACTCCTGGGTACAAAATACGATGACTCTGGGGGACCATAGGGGATGCCAGGGTTTGAACTTGAGTTGGCCACAGAAAAGGAAAGTGCACTCCCCACTGTAGTATCACTCAGGCCCCCCACTCTTTTGTTCTTTAAAGAAAAAGACAGTATTTTACCAACACCACAAAGATGAAAGAGACACTGTGCTTTACCCTTGTACAACCAAGAAAAATGGAACTTCCTTGTATTCCCAAATAAATATCTGCTAGAAAATAACAGTGCTCAATGCTTGCGAATGAAGTCACTTTATACAACTACCACATCAGCTCAAATTCTAAAGCTACAATAATTCCTTTGTTAAATCAACAAAGAAGAATTCATTTCAGGTCACTTATTTCAGAGAATAGGAAGGAGTGTCCTCAGTGGGAAAACTGCCGGCTGCTGGATGCTTTCTTGCTAATATGTTTGAAGATCTTGGACTTCTCCACTTTCTTGGCTTTCTGGTAGCCAAATCCACCACCGCCTCCCCTCTTTCTTTGCTTGCTGTCATTGGTGTTCACATCTGAAGGTGAATTTAGTTAAGGAAACCAAGCAACTGAGATAATGAACTAGAATCGACTTAGACAGGAAACCGGCCTGCTCGCCCTGGTCCCTCCAGCCCCATCCCTCCCTCTGCACCACACGAAACGGTGACCACAAAGCCTTTGCAGAGCTTTCAGAAATTCAGCAGGAGCCACGTGATAGTAGTCTAAAATTACCAGCTGATTTTTAAAGCCCTGTGTAACAGTCGTGTAATTTTCTCCAACAATGAAAACAGAGTCAATTGCTCAGAAGGAATTAGGAGGTGTATCAGCAAGTATCTTTGGAAAAAAGACCCCTAGTGTCAAAACAGTGACGCCCACCTCTGCTTGGGACTGATTCAGAAACGCTTAGCCGAGAGAGGGCCTTTTTCCCTTTCATATGATTCAAAACATACTCATTCCAACAGACGCGAACTCAAGGTCTACAATGGGAGTGACCCAAAAAAAGATCCTCGGGTTTCCTCAGGAAGGGCCACCAGCATTAACAGTCACATCTCACCGTGGCCAGCTCACTTCCTTCTACAGAGAATGTGCTAACAGTGCAGACGTTATAAATTCCACCAGAAACAGGCTCCCCTCCCCCTCCCTCTCCTTTGTCCTAAGCAGCAACTTTTTTTGTACACTGCTGGTCTTACAAGTCCCCTGTATGAAACCCTTGCCATTCTGAGGACGCAATCACTCAGGTCTTCTCTCTGCAGCCTCAGGGCAGCCCGCTCCTCCTACTCTGGACTGAAGCGGCACTGTGTCCTGCCACCATGCCCGCTGCTTCTCTCACTCTCCCTCTTCCTGGCTGCCAAACTGTTCTGTCGGCTTGAAGTCATAAGCCAGCTCTGCTCTGTAATGCTGACACGCAGGCAGGCGGTGGGTGATGGGATGGACAACGGTGTCTCCAGGCCCCAGAGTAACTCCCCCTCCACCACAGCTCTGGCCCCCCACTTCCCAAATGAATGAATAACAAAAGGATACTCAGATCAACAAAAGGAGGCACCTTGAAACCAAATGACAGAGCCACCTGAGGCAGATTTAAGCTATTGACATTGAAGATCTGCTTCAGAGAATGGGAATCATAGGCACGGATGTAGGACTTATATGCTTCCTGGGCCGACTTATGAAGGAAGTAGTTCTTTTCAATCAACTTTTCAAGCTGAAATAGGAAGAAACACTTTTTAAATAAAATTTTCAAAAAGCAAATATCATATCCACTCGAACAAAAATCATTCTGTGTAAAATATTTGTTCAAATATACTTGCTCCAAGTACTGCGGAATTTTTCAGATCAGGCAGCAAAAAGTCTAAGGTGGGGTAAGATTTTTTTCTGATCATTTTTAGCGAATTATTTGTAACAAGTAGCGCTGTCTGGTAGCATTGTCCTCCCGTTGTTCACTGATTTGCTCGAGCGAGCCCAGTAATGTCTCCATCATGAGACTTGTTGTTACTGTGTTTGGCATATTGGATATGTCATGGGTAGCTTGCCAGGCTTTGGCGTGCGGGCGAGATACTCTCGGTAGCTTGCCGGGCTCTCCAAGAGGGGCAGAAGAATTGAACTTGGGTTGGCCAGGTTGGCTGCATGCAAGGCAAACGCCCTACCCGCTGCGCTATGTAACAAGTAATATAAAATATATTATTTAGGGACTGCTGTTGGGGCAAGCTTGGGTGGTGGTTGGGAAAATTCAAAATAATGGTAGTGGGAAGGTGCAAAGGTGGTGGTATTGGTGTTAAAAAATCAACTGTAATAAATCATGAATGTCTTTATAAAAAATATACGTATCTATTTTAAAAGGACTAACTCAGGGTGAAAGCACAAGAATGTGGTAAGCAGCAAGCAAAGAGGAGTTCAAAGCTCTCAGTTTATGAAAAGGGATGCTCAGAGAACAAAGACCGCCTATCAGAAATGATGAAGGTGCAGGTGAAACTGAGGCTTCCTCTTACACAAACCTTTTTAGAAAAACATACCTGAGATTGAATATCAGAAATTTTGGACCAGGAAAACTCAAACTCACTTAATGGAACCTAGAAAACAAAAGCAAACGGATTTGAAAAAAAAAAAAAAGATGTATCTACCTTTAGACTTTTAGAGGAGTAAGAAGAGTTTGTGGACAGCTGGGAGAGAAAATCATGCAGTGAGGATTTGCCGGTGGCTGATGAAATACTCAAGAGGGGATGGACAACAGACCAGGCTTGTGGAATTCCCCTGGGACAGATATCTGGCTCTTTTCCCTCCAATCCAACTGGAAATGTTTTATTTGTGTTTGTTTTTGGGCCACATCCAGCTGTGCTCAAGAACCACTTCCTGCGAGATGTTCAAAGGTCACCGTGGCAGTAGTGAGGGGAATGATGTGCTGGGTATCAAACCCGGATGCCACAAGCCACGCCGGCACCCCAGCTAAGAGCTGAGTCAGCAAATGGAAATTCTGTCATGGCTCTGCCACTGTACGTGAACTGTGCTAAGTTTAACTTCCTGAAAGGAAAGGTGAGGAGCTGTACAGAAACGCTGAGCCACCGAAGCCCTTTATGCACGCACTATGAAGCAGCCCGGGCTCTAGGTACACAGACCTCTAGTACGCTTCCCGCCAAGAGAAGGACCTGCAACTCACTGCAAAGCAGACACGGAAGGTAGAATCCAGCTGACAAGAGAGAAACGGGAGATACAACTGAACGGGGATCCCTACGGCTCCAGAGGAGGCAAGAGGGAAAGAATGGGATGAGAAGATGGTTAGAAGGGAGCAAGGAGGCTGATGAAGGAAGCAAGAAGGTTTCAAACAGGGCCGCAAGGGCTAGGAGGACGGAACAGACACAGGGCACAGCGCCAAGCACCCCAGAGCTCAGGAATGAGCCAATGAGGGGAGCACTTTCTGTTCGCACTCTCTGGGCCAGACCTACCCCCAAGTCACCCACGCTCTGGAACGATTATTCTAACAACACCATAGGGCTCCCGACTCCTTGGACAAACTACTGTTAACGTGCGCTGGCCAGCAGCTCCGTCTAGAGGCACCAGTTCCCAAGTCAAAGTCTTCCAAGCACAGATCCTTTACCTTGGACTGCTTCAAGTAACGAAGGAAACCCAGTTCTTCAGGACGCAGAATGAGCAAGGCATGCCCTCTTCCGTTTAGGCCTCTGGCTGTTCTACCCACACGATGAATGTATTCCTTTGGTGGAGAGAGAGAAAAAAAGTCTGCATTAACATCGCTCAGAGTTCTGCACATCCAGGACTGACTTGCACAGTAGCAGAGAGAAGTGGGATCACACAAGATGGCACCCCAAATGCAGGGCTGTGCCAACTTCACCACTTCTACTTCAGAGTGGTCATGTAAAGCAGTCAAATACCATCTGATATTTTGTATCACCTATTATCTGAAAATTCTTAATAGACCATATCCTACTACATATGCTATAGAAACTTTAGTTATCTTTGCAGGCATTTTTTTTTCTTCCAATGCCCACTGCTCTTAACATCACTTTAAGGATCCTAACACTTCTAACTTATATCCTACCGATATCCCTTGAGTCTCCTTGCAGCCCACCCCCTATCCCTGGGTCCTAGAAAAGCCCTAAATACTATTCAGACCAGAAAAATAGTGGAGACACTATACAGTGAAACACGACTTGAGTAATGAAGGGATACAATTCGTAACGTGGGATTTCTCAGGGGAACCGGAGGACACGTGAACTCCTTAAGGTTGTGCCATTCTGGGGAGGCCGTAATGATGCATTACCTTGGGGTCATCTGGAGGGTCATACTGCACAATCCAGTCAACTTCAGGAATATCCAGCCCTCTGGCTGCCACGTCTGTACACAACAGTATCCCTGAATCCGCATTGCAGAACTGGAAGAAGGTGGTTGTTCGCTTGTTCTGCTTTTGCTTTCCCTAGAATCAAAGACTATCCGTTAGGGCTGGGAACCGACGCCGCTTCTGGGAAGTCCACACACAAGCTGTCTACCTGCTTCTTCCTGAGAGTTCTCCCTTGCCTATGTTCTAACCCCAGGTAGATAGCACTGCTTGTTTCCTCAAGGTCATCACACTCCACATCCGGCAGGGCTTTCTCTACACAGGGTTCCAGCACCCTCCACTGACAAAACTGCCAAGAGTCATGTTCTGAGCAAAACCTCAAACCCCACCACCTCTATAACTTGCAAAGAATAACCCTTTTCTAAAAAAAAAAAAAAAAAGAATCACTGTGATATAATAGTTACAAAGCTTCCATGATCAGGTTTCAGTCATAAAATGCATAACTGATATTTAATAAAATCATCTAATCACTTACATGAATGGCTAAGACAGGCAAATCAATGTAGTTCAGCAACTCGTAGTGGTATTTCACAGACATACAAGATGAAAAGAAAACCATGAGTTTCTTCTTTCGGTTCTTCTTAAGGAAAGTGAAGAGCAGAAGGAATCTCTTTTCGGAGGGACAAACGACATACCCCTGGACATGGTTCAAGCAAGGATACAAAACAATGGATATTCTCAATTTCACGAACCACTATGGTTTGATGCCGCATGCAAAATAAACCACCTCTAATTCTCCTGCCTGAGCTTTTGCAAAGTTACTACTTTCACAAGAAATCATTTTGAAGAAATGACTAATTTTTAAATTACTTTTACTAGCTGCAATCCCATTCAATACCTAACTTTCTCATTACTGAGGTTACTAGTTACTAACAGTTCCTAAAAGCATATGTATATTTTTTGTAAACAACACTAAGAACAGAAATCTTTCATGCAATTTCAGTTTTTCATTTTTTAATAATGTCCTAAGGTAAAGGCCCTCCCGTTGATCGTCAATTTGCTCGAGCAGGCCCAGTAACGTCTCCATTGGAGACTTTGTTGTTACTGTGTCTGGCATATCGAATACTCTCGGTAGCTTGCCGGGCTCTCCGAGAGGGGCGGAGGAATCGAACTCGGGTCGGCCATGTTGGCCGCGTGTAAGGCGAACGCCCTACCCGCTGTGCTATCGCTCCAGCCCTAAATGGCAATCACTGAGCAAACTCAGCTGAAGTACGTGTCCTATACAAACACAAAAGGTTGATAAATCTACTTAAAAGCAGGCAGTCAATGAAAGGTTCTGAAACTAACACATTCCCCCCAAAATTTCTATTTATCACAAGACTCAATTTCAGTTGTCTTCCTTTGCATCTTTGTCATTTCATTTCAGGTTTTCCCAAGCTACAAGCCTCAAATCAGTCCTTTCATCTTCAATTCACTTTATCCCAGAGCAAGGAATTAAACAATTTTTTGGTTGCTGTCCTCAAGAACTGGCAGTTAACACCTCCCATGCAGTAAGTGAAGAGACTAACAGAAAGAGCAAACTGACAGAATTCAGAGCTCGAGTATCTGGAGACTCAAGAGCCCCAAATCCACTACATTGCAATTAAAAGCTAATTAACCCTTATTTCTATCTTCAAGACGTGTCTCCAACAAGTACAACGAAAGACTTTAAAAATAGATCCTTTTAAGCCACTGACAGACGTACCTGCTCAAGGCCATCGACGGTTGCATTTGTCTTGTCGTCATCAACCCCAACGTATAGCGGCTCCTTTTTCAGAGAAATCCTTGCCAGGTCTTCAACCTTTCGCGTTTGTGTGGCGGAGAAAAGCATGGTCTGTCTGCGTGCTAAACACAGGATGAGAAGAGGAACCCCAAACTTTCAGGCTATCTTTGTAACTGTTTTACAGCTGTTTTCCATAGAACTATCAAGAATGGGAGATGTGGGGCTGGAGAGATAGCACAGCGAGTAGGGCGTTTGCCTTGCACGCAGCCGACCCAGGTTCGATTCCCAGCATCCCCTATGGTCCCCTGAGCACCGCCAGGAGTGATTCCTGAGCGCAGAGCCAGGTGTAACCCCTGCGCATCACTGAGTGCGACCCAAAAATCAAAAAAAAAAAAAAAAAGGATGGGAGATGTGTTATCACTACAAAGAGTAAAAACGGTAACAAGGGAATGTCATACCCAGTTTATGTGTGTAAGTCTGACTAGTAAAAGAATTTCATTTTTTAAAAAATTTTCTTGGATCTGGGGACTTGAGTCCAGGGGTTCACAAATAAGGCACAAGGGCTCTAACACTGGCCATATCTATTGCTCAATTCTGACAAATTAGCTGAAATGGAGAATTTTCTTGGAAGACAACCATCGTTTAGCTTACCCAAGGAGAAAGAGAAAACTTCAATAGTCTTACATGCGTTAAAATTTCTTCTATAGTCTCAATGGCCTATACTGGTCAATTCTACTAAACAATGAAGAAGTATTACTTCTTCATAAACCCCATAGATAGAAGAGAGAAAACAGCATATACTTCCCAACTCATTCTTTGAAACATTAGAAAGGTTTGGGATTTATTTAGAAATACAGAGTTGGTTTAAAATTTGAAAATTAACTAACCCACTATGCCATATCAATGAATCAAAGAATATTTGGCCATTTTGATAAAGAAAGTTTCAAAATAATTAACATTTCTGATTTTTAAAGAAAAATCAACAAACTAGAACAGAAGGATCATTTCCCAATATAATTAAGGGTATCTACAAAAACATATTAATGCTTCTTTTCACCAGTAGTTCTTTTACCATTAATTTCTCTTAGTGATGAAAGACTAGATGTTTTTTTCTCGTTTAAGGTCAAGAATAAGACAAGGGCTTCACCAGCCACTTCTACTGAGCACTGTGCTGGAGGTTCTAGCCAGTGTTATCAGGCATGAGACTATTTAAGTAAAAAAATTTATTTGTAAAAGACTTAATTGTCTGTAGAAAATTTCAAGGACTTAGGTTACCTAGATGATCATACTAATAATCTAGTTGAGTGGAGTAATAATTACCCTGACAGTTGTAAGAGCTTTATGAAAACCAGCTATATTAATACAAGCAATGCACATTTTGAAACTAAATTTTTAATGAATTACTTAGGGACAAATCTGACAACAAATTGCACACTGAAAATACATGCTGATCAGACCTCAACAAAGCATTCGAAAGAATCATATAGTAAGTGTGAACGAACACACACACACACACACACACACACACACCCATAATAGAGTCGTGATTATAATCTATGTTTGCCCAATTCAAACAGAAAGAGGAAGGGCAACAAGCCTCTGGCTGCCTCTGAGATGTAAACCAGCTAAGGAGCAGGGATGGGATGGGGGAGGGGAGCACAGGTTGGGCGCCTGCCTTGCATACGAAGGGCTTGATCTCCAGCACTGCAAAATCACCCAAACTTTCGAAATGTGAACTTCTACTAGGCCTGATCAACACTTCAATGCTGGGCCAAGTAGACTGGGAGTGACCCCCAAGTCCTTTAAATATGGTTCTGTTGGCCTTCTCCTCCTCTAAAGGGAGTGGTGGTGGCACATCCCAGGTCATAACTTGCACTATGACCTCTAAAATAGCAAAAGCAATGAAATTAAACAAGTAAAAAATTGATGCTTGTATTGAAAACTAGCTCTAAGTTAATATTTTAACAGTTTTTCACCCGGCTATAGTACAATTCTATTATTAATCATTTTTATACAGGAAGAGTCCCTACTTCCAACAATGGCTTTGCAAACCACATGCAGGTACCACCTACTTACTTGGTAGTAGTTTAATTATTTGCTTTAATTCCTCTTCAAACCCAACATCTAAGATACGATCGGCCTCATCAATAACCAGGCACTGTAGGTTTTTATACATAAATCCAGGGGTATTCTAACAAGACAAAATTCAAAAGAAAAACCAAAAACCCTGTTAGCCACCAAAGTTAAGTCTCACACAAGCTGATGATACAGGTCCACTACAACAGAGTTCTACCTGCATATGGTCCAGGAGACGACCTGGTGTAGCCACAATGATGTTGATCCCATTACCAAGTTTCTGTGCTTCAGCAGACCTGTTACTGCCACCCATTATTAACCCGTAAGTGTGAACGTGGTAAGTCATTAGTTCCTTAAGAACACCGAAGGTCTGCATGGCCAGTTCCCTTGTAGGTGAGAGAATAAGGACTCCTGTTCCTAAAAACAGAATTTAAGACACGTTTGTAAAAGTCAAACTGCAATTGCAAACAAGTCTAGAACTGGCACAATAAATCAGAAATACACAGACATAATCAGATAAAGCGCTCACCGTTCCTGGGCATGAATTTCAACTTAACAATGAGCTCAACTGCGGGGATGAGAAACGCCAAAGTTTTGCCACTGCCTGTTTTTGCAGCTGCGAGAAGATCCCTAAGTATTAAAAAGCGAAAGAAATAAGACTTTTTTTTCTCATTCCACAAGTATTAGTGATTTTCTGATTATGTTCTATCAGGTATTTTAGGTATTAAATCTATAGAGCCTGAACAAGACAAAAGTCTGAATGCTCTGTGTGATTGAAACGCTGGGTCAAACAACTAACTTTGACACAGGATGATGATCCAAGTTTTCCTACTGTGGATAAACTTGCAGGCTACCGAATGTAGCCTGCCCACAGGGCAGAGTCTGGCAAACTCCCCGTGGCGTACCCAATATGCCAAATACCAGTAACAATGATGGGTCTCATTCTCCTAAAGAGCCTTGAATATAATCTCAGGGCTAGGATGAAAGAGACGTTACTGGGGCCTGCTCGAGGCAATCGACGAATAACAGGATGATGAAATGAAAAAATGAAATGATGATCCAAAATGGTGCCAAATAAACAGAACATGCAGATACTTTCTAAATCACAGCACTAAAGCCACAACACAGACTCTAATGCCCAAACATCAATGTGAAGTCATACCTGCCTTCCAGAAGTGGTCTGATACTTTTATGTTGAATTTCAGTCATGTTTGTAAAGCCCATTTCTTTGATAGCTTTCAGAGTATTCTCATTGACAAGATTACTCAGAGAAGCAAATGAAGTATCCTCAAAAGCTCCTAAGCAGAAACAGAGTTCGTCATGAACAAATTCATCTCTTTCAGTAGCTCATCTGCAACAGTTGCTTAAATATTATATCTCTGTTGACTGAAAACACTGTAAGGTTGGTGTCAAGCTTCTTTGAAAGAAAATAAAACTATAACCAATTTTCTGTAATGGGGGTGGAGGGGGAAGATCTGATACCAGTTTATTTGCTGCTAAAGGCTTTATTTACTTGAAGTTCCAAACCTAACTGTAGAGAAAACTTGATACACCGTTAGAACTCACACATCAAGGGTATGAAGCTCTTTGTAGGCAAAGTCATTCATTGTTTAACAAGAGAACTTCTCTATCCATCCTATGTCTCAGGTGTAGCCCAGACAAAGTCAATCTTGGCAATAACAATCGATTAGGCTAATTCTTTGTTGTCAAAAGTTGTTAATATGCTTTATAAGATGTTCCGTGGCATTCCCGAGTTCTACCCACTAGATCCCAGTATCTGTGCCCTGTCCTGACCAAAAATATGGTTAGTCAAAGTGCATGGTAGGTGAGAGAAGTTTATATGCTGCAGGACTCTCACCACTGAAACGGGAAGACCTGTAGGCACACTGGGATAAGCTGGTCATCCCATGTGGAAGGCAAAATTATGCTAATGATAGGCACTGCATAACTTTGCAATTTTACTCATGCAATTCTAGAGCTGGGCTTCAGTATTTCAACAAAACAGACTAAATTAAGGGCCCACCCAAGAGACAGTACAGTGGGTAGGGTATCTGCTTTGCATGCAGCTGACCTGGGTGTGATCCCTAGCCCTCCATATGGTCCTCTGAACCCTGCCAGGAGTGAGCACAGCTGGGCGTGGCCCAAAACAAAAACGGAAAACCTAAATCAAACTCAAGTTTACTCTTAAAACATTTCTAGCCAGGAACAATGGATTCTGTGTCCCCCACCCCCCACACCCACCTTTAAATAAACACAAAACAAGTTTACCTGGTACTGTTGAAAGATAGCCCTGTGACAATTGGGCCCTAGCAAAGCAAGTCCCAGCCCATATCCCGTCCTGCAGCTGTGGCAGGCTAGCAACACCAAGTACCCCCAACTCCTCCTTGCACCTGGAATTCTCCACAAGGTTGGAGAAGGCCTAATGAAAAGGCCTAATTGACTGCCCGATGGGAGGGCCTGGTGACAGGTACAGAAGAGAGTGGCTGGTGCTGATGGCTTGTTGCAAAATGATAGGCTGCCTGCGTGCAGCATCTAATGTGAATAATTCAAATGTATTGGGTGACTTGTGCGCGGGCTTTTCTGAAATGTTCGGGAAGATGCCCTATAAAAAGCCCCCTTTGAAGAGGCTCGGGGCTCTCAGTCACTGACGGTTTGTGGTCATGCTGTGAGCCCGAGCCTGCTCGAATAAATCTCTTGCTTTTGCATGGACTTGGTCTCTCCTTGTCAAGTTTTCCTTGACAGGTGAGGCTGCCCTGAGCTCGGACCCTAACACTGTCAGTCCCTATCAGTTTCACCTTCTCCAATCTGTAACTAAGCCACTATTCAACCCTTGGTTTCCATACTGGAGCACCAGTGATCTTCCTATTACAACACGGAATGAACTTCACAAATGTCAAACCAAAGGGGAGAAAGGACTCAGAAACTACGTGCATGCATATAACAACATTTAGAGAGCTGGGGTCTGGGGAAGCAGCTTGGTGGCAGAGTGCCTGTCTTATAGGCCAAACACTGTGACTTCAATCCCTGTCAAATCCCTGGTACGCGACAAAACTTCAGTCTCCAGGGCAGTGCAACAAAGGAACCGTGTTGGGTGACTAGGAAGGGAAGGGGAAAAAAAATTTAGTGTTAGGAAAGAAGAAAAGAAAAGAAAAAAACAAAACAAAACAAAAAGCAGGAATAAAGACACATTAAGCAACACACAAAAAGCAGCAAGATCTAAGTTCCTGCAGGTTACCTGTCAGTCCGAGAGGCAGGCTGGGCACCTCACTGTCATCTTCCTCATTGTCTGGCTTCTCCACATCCTCTGCTTCTTCAGGAGGCCGAGTTCCATCTTCTTCTGATTCCCCTTTCTCTTCAATTTTTGCTTTTTTGGTATCTTGGTTTAAAAAGATTTGAGTAAAACAAAAACCCACTTTTTTTTTTCCCCATTACAAAAACTTTAATATATAACACATAATTTGCCAAGGAAGTTTTATGATTAAGGGGGGGCATGCAGATTTGCCAAGGTGACTTTTTTTTAGTTTTCTAATGCCATTTAAGCAACCATGAATTTTTAAAAAAACTGAATAATTTAAGTATACTAATTATACCTAATTCTTTATACTTTGTCAAGAAAAGGGAATGACATTAATGATTTCATGAGTAAAAACTCATGAAACACAAATTTTCCTTCCTGTGTCTTGTAGATAAAAATAAACAGGCGTGTGATAGTGCAGCGGGAAAAGCATTTGCCCTGCAGGTGGCTGAGCTGAGTTTAACCCCTGGTACCACATATAGTCTTCCAAGCCTGCTACAAGTGATCCCTAAGACCAGGGTTAGGAGTAAGCCCTGAGCACCAATGGGGGTGGCCCCCAAACCAAAAGATACACATGAAAGTTAATTTTGTTTTAATGAACAGAAATCTCAAAGGTTCTTCACTTCACCTTGACAAGGCAAAGGCAATAGACCTGGGTGAGAGGAACTGACTTGAAATTAAAAATAGGGTCTGAAATTTCCAGCTTGTGACTCAATACACGAGAGAAGAAAATAGTATTTTTTGTCTTAGGCACACTCAGAACAAGAACCTGAAAGGCATTACTAATTTCAGAATATGAACACAACTGCTTTAAATCAATACTCCAATCTTCAAGTCCTAGCTCTTTTTACTTTCTTAAAACTGCAGGTCATGTGGTCTAAGGAATCACAAAAATCAAGATGGACACAAGTATTCTCATAAAATTTCGTTATCTGTTTGCTCAAATCTCAAAGAAAACGCCTCCCCCCCCTCCCAAATAAAACAACCCACAAAAACGGGCTGGAGCAATAGCATAACACACTGCCAAACTGGGTTTGATTTCCAGCATCCCATATGGTCCCCCGAGCACTGCCAGGAGTAATTCCTGAGTGCACGAGCCAGGAATAACCTCTGAGAATCACCAGGTGTGACCCAAAAATCAAAAAAAAAAAAAAAAAAAAACAAAACAAAAAAACAAAACAACCCCAAAAACCCCACAATGAAACAAAAAGTCTATATTGTGACCAAGGCTTATTAGGCTTATTCAAATCTAGTCATCTTTTGAAAAAATGAGTCCTTCTGGGCTCGGAAGATGACTGGCAGGGTATGCTTTGCATTCTAGAGCTCCACGCTTGCGTCTCAGCACTGTATGGTCCAGGAGAGACCCTCATATGGAAAAGGCAGAGGGAAAAACAGGGCCACCCTCTTCACTTCAATATTATGTGATGATTGCACTTGATGGAAATGAATACCTTACTCTTTCCGATGCTTTCTAACTGCTACTACCTCTATCCTGCATATTCGAATTATCATTAAGTCTTATTTCAAAGCGGGGTGGGGGTGTGTGGTTCATGGTAGGAAAAGGAATGGGCAAAGAAAGAGGGTCATTAATGCAAAGTCCTTCCATACATAAAAGAAGGTATTTTACTACCAGCTGAGATTTGTGTTAGGAATTTGATGTGCAAATATAAAGTAAAGTAAAGTAAAGGCCCTCCCGTTGATGGTCGATTTGCTCGAGCGGGCCCAGTAACGTCTCCATTGGAGACTTTGTTGTTACTGTGTCTGGCATATCGAATACTCTCGGTAGCTTGCCGGGCTCTCTGAGAGGGGAGGAGGAATCGAACTCGGGTCGGCCATGTTGGCTGCGTGCAAGGCAAACGCCCTACCGCTGTGCTATCGCTCCAGATGTGCAAATAGCAAACCTAAAATACTAAGCCACGGCAGGCTGTTACTATAAAAAGTCCAGACAACTGACTAAAAGATCGAATTTCTGGGATTCTAAAGTGACTCTTCTTTTAAGTGAGCTTTTATTTTAGGTAGCCTGAGACCAGAACAGCAGAATACACTGCCCGAACATTCGAGGAAAGTGAAGGTCTCTCCAAGTTACCACTAGCTACAGGTCAAGCCTAGTGTGTTACGATCATGAGAACATGGGCACGTGTCATGTGGAGACAACATGACATAGCAGCAACTATTTGAAAGGCTGAAGCGCGAAGCACAGATAATCGATCGACTGCTTACCAGGACCAGCAGCAGCTTCATCCCCCAGTTTTCTCTTCTTCTTCTTCTTTTTCTTCTTCTTCTTCGATTCTAAGCTAGGAGACTGTATTGCTGCTTCCCCATTGGTTAGCACAGTAGATTTCTTGGGGGAACTTTCAATTTTCACCTTTTCTGCCGTTCCTTTAGGCGTACCTCCACTCTGGGCCTCCGACAAGCTCTCCTTGAGAGTCTGCTTTGGGGCTTTTTTAGCTTTTACGTTTCCCACTGCTGCAGACCCAACATTTTGGGCTTCTGACAAGCCCACATCCACAGACTGCTGCTGGGATCTTTTAGCCTTTACTTTCCCCACTGTTTTAGAAGGACCTCCATCTTGGGCTTCAGACAAATCCACGTTCTTGGATGGCTTCGGTAATTTTTTTGCTTTTAGATTTTTCACCTTTTCTCTAGATGCATGTCCATTTTGTACCTCTGACAAGCCCCCACTCACAGACAGTTTTAGAGATGCTTTAACTTTTCCAATCTCCGCTGTTTCTGCGGACACATCTCCATTCTGAGACTCCGAGAGGCTTTCATCCAAGGCCTTTGCTGTGACAAAGAAATTAAGATTCACTTAGAAATATGGAAATCTTGAGAGAAATTCCATGCCTCCCAGAACTGCATTTAGTAGCTCAGACATTCATGTACATGAAGAAAACTAATCACAACACTACGTTAACAATATTTTTCCACTTTTAAGGAGTAGCTTCCTTTTAAGGAAAAAATGCTGGCCAAAGGAAAAGTCTCATTGATTCTTGAGTTTAAAATACCACATTTCTATCCTTGAGGAATTAAGACTCTGGAACAGGAAAACTCTAAAAGGAACAATAAACAGATCAGTAAGGGGAGTTACAAATCAGTAGACATTTTAATACTATTTAAAACACCTGTAGCAAGTTGATCACAATCATGATCACCCTGTTGTCTGTAGAGTGCCTCGAGCAGGCACCAGTAATGTCTCCGGCCTACCCTGAGATTTTAAAAAGTGCCATATTCAAGGCTCTTTCAGGGTTAGGAGAATGAGACCCATCATTGTTACTGGTATTTGGCATATTGGGTACACCATGGGGAGTTTGCCAGACTGCCGTGTGGGCAGGCTACATTCGGTAGCCTGCCAGGTTGTCCAAAGTAAGAACGAGATAATAAGATGTCGGGAGCTGGGTTTTATAGTCTCTGGGTCTTGTCAATACACTGGAAAATTCTTACAATATATTCACACAGCCTATTTCTCTTAACTTCAAAACAGTCAACTTTCCTAGAGAGCAGCATAACTAAGACGGTGGAGCAAAGCGTTCATTCATTGAACGCTGAGCAGATATCAATGCCCAAGGAAGCCCGTTACCAGTGCTACCGTTTATATTACTAAAAAGTCTAGCATTTAATAAAGGGTGTTTGGAGGATCCTCCCAGGAGGGGAGATGCATGTTGAAAGTAGACTATGGACTGAACATGTTTGCCACTCAAAGCCTCTCTTGCAGACCACCACACCCAAAAGGAGAGAGAGAACAAAAGGGAATGCCCTGCCACAGAGGCAGGGTGGGATGGGAGGGATGGGGGAGGGATATTATCCTTGGTGGTGGAAAATGGGCACTGGTGGAGGGATGGGTATCTGATCATTGTATGACCGAAACCCAAGCACAAAGATTTGTAAATCTACAACTGTACCCCATGGTGCTTCACTAATAAAAAAAAAAAGAAAGAAAAAGAGAGGAAAAAAAAAATGTCTAGCATTTAAATTGTTACCCGGCATGCACACCAGGTAGCAGCCATACTATTCCACCCTACAGAAATGGGACATAAAAGGCAACTGGGGAAAAAAAAAAAAAAGGATACTAAAATCTACAAGACACCAGATTCCGTTCAGAACTCTGTTGCAAAGCAAAAGGGAGGAGGCCATATGCCTCCCCCGTGGTGTTCCCTGGGGGTGGGTGGCTGGGTCACAGGGTCTCATTTTCCACCCCGGCAGAACTTCCAGCAGCAGCCCCGGGTCAGGAGCCACCGGGGTGCCCACGAGGCCTTATGTACCAGCAGGCTCACACGCCGAAACCCTTTTCCGTGCAAACTTCCACGGGGCGGGCACCGCGCAGAGGCTCTCCGGCAGCAGCTGGCAGGCGCGGCCCCAGCCCCCCAGCGCAGGTCAGGGACAGGTCACCGACCGGTGATGGGCAGGTCCCGGGGACAGGGAGCAAGGTGAGGCCAGGGGGCCGGCGGGGACCGAGCAGGGAAGGGGGGCAGCGGCTAGAGCCGGAGCCCGGCGGGACCCAGAAAATCCCCGCCCTCGCTCGGAAAGGAGAAACTGAGGCTCCGCACGCCCAAGAGGCCACCCCGCGGCCACGTGGCGCGTCGTGGCTGCACCCCCCACGCTGTCCCAGGCTGTTTTTTTTTTTTTCTCCCCCCACACGTTCCGGAAAGTCCCCGCGCTCGGGGGTCACGGCAGCCCCGGGCCACCTGTGCAGCAGCGGCAGCAGCAGCATCGGCATTGGCATTGACATTGGCATTGGCATTAACATTGGCAGCAGCATTGGCATTAGCAGCAGCAGCATTGGCATTGGCACTGGCAGAAGCATTAGCACTGGCATTGGCATTAGCATTAGCAGCAGCAGCAGCATCGGCATCGGCAGCAGCATTAACACTGGCATTGGCATTGGCAGAAGCATTAGCATTGGCATATGGCATCAGCATCGGCATTAGCATCGGCATTGGCACTGGCAGCAGCATTAGCATTGGCATTGGCATTAGCACTGGCATTGGCATCAGCATTGGCATTAGCATCAACATCGGCATTGGCACTGGCATTGGCATCAACATCAACATCGGCATTGGCATTAGCACTGGCATTGGCATTAGCATCGGCATGGGCATTGGCAGCAGCATTAGCACTGGTATTGGCATTGGCATTAGCAGCAGCATCAGCATCGGCATTGGCGTTGGCATCAGCATTGGCATTAGCATCGGCATCGGCATCTGCATTGGCATCGGCCGCAGCAGCGCGCTCCCACTTCGCAGCCGCCCGCAGGCGCCGGGCCCACGCGCGCCCGCCCGCCCGCCCGCCCGCCGCCCGCCGCCAGCCCGGCCGCGCTCCTCACCCCGCAGCTTCAGGTTCCGCTGCCGCAGCTTCAGGTTCCGCTTCTCGATCTTCCTGCGCAGCAGTTTCATGGGGAGGTGGGACATGGCGGCGACGGCGCCCCTTCCCCGGGCCGACTCTCCCTCCTCCTCCTCCTCCTCCTCCCGGCTGGCACGTGCGCGACCGGCTCCGCGGGGCGGAAGTGCCGGGAGCGAGCACTTCCGGTTAGGTTCCGTGTTTGATGTTTTCTTATGGCGCCCCCCGGCGGAGAGGAGGTCCAACATGCACCTGCTTTCCCCCACCCCAGAGCCAGCGCTGGCGACTCACCCTGGTTGGGGGCTGGGAGTTTCCCCCAGAGCAGGACTAAAGACAGACAGCTTTAGGGAGTCTCCTTTTCTGCGTTCCTCTCTTCTTCGGATCCTGGACGATGAAGGAAATGGAATGAAGCCTAAACTTTTATTTGCAGTCTTGATTTTTTTTTAATTAAATAGGAGACACCCATGATTTACATATTTATTCATAGCTGGATTTCAGGAGTACAATGTTCCAATACCAACCAGTCCTACCACCCATGTCCAGCTCTTTCCATCCATGTCCCCAGGTTCTCTCCAGCCCCCAGTCGCCTTGCTTGGCACATCTTCAAGTTTGATGATTTCCTTTTAGATCTCATCCTTGTAGATATGCTGGCTCTGTAGTTTATACATGTATACATATCTACTCATATACCACAGGTGTACACATGTAAGTACATGTACACATCTCCCCATCGGTGTTGAGCTCAAGGCACCTCACTCTTGCCTGTTACCCCTCATCTGTCTCTCACCTCCCCAACCCACCTCTCAGTCTCAATTCCTTCCCCCACCCATTTTTTTTTAAAAAAAATTCTATAAGGGTCAAGGATAATCTGGGTATGCTCCCCTTCCTTTGCAGGTTTCTTTGTTCTCTCTCCTTGGTTAGGGATGCACCCACTGTGTCACTTGGTGGACAGGCACATTTAAATATAGCATGTCTTCTCAAGATGGTAACCTTAACTCCTGTGTTTATAATTTCCCTTCCTTTTGTTCTGTTAGGTAGGCACCAAATGGTGTGCGTGAGGTCACGAGAGTACCTGAGGATAAGCTAAGCAGGGTTACATAGTCCTAGTGCAATGTTGGGCCAATTTTAAGGTGAGAAGAAAGTTTCAGAAAGGGTTATGCCCCCTGTAAGGTCTCTCCTGTAAGGCTCGAGATTGTCATAACTCAGTGAGAAAGCTGAGACAGAGGAAGGGCTTAGGATCAAAGTTTATTTTGTGGTGATGGGCCCAAGGATTACGATGTTAGACTTGAACTCTAATAATTTGACAAATGACTCAAAGACTGAGGCTGCATTTATACTACATAACTACATCCTGGAGTGATAGCACACCAGTAGGGCGTTTGCCTTGCATGCATCCAACATGGCCAACCTGAGTTCGATTCCTCCACCCCTCTCAGAGAGCCTGGCAAGCTACCGAGAGTATCTTGCCCGCACGGCAGAGCCTGGCAAACTACCCGTGATGTATTCGATATGCCAAACACAGTAACAACAAAAGTCTCCAATGGAGACGTTACTGGGCCCGCTCGTGCAAATCGATGAACAACGGGAGGACAGTGACAGTGACAGTGACAGTGAACTACATCCTAAAGTGTCAATTAAGATCATGCAAGCTTAACGACAGTTTTTAACTTATAAAATAAGATATGACTTTGCAGATATACATCAGTAAGGCTTAACTTCAGTTATAGTCATACCTCTTGCAGGAGCAAATTGTCTCTTCATCGCTGAAGGTCTGAGCATACGCTTTGCCATCCCTTGTAGGGATTTACACAGTCAGCTCAGATGACTGTTCTTAAGTTTTTCGGGTCTGAATCTTACACCTTTTTCTTGGTCCAACAGCATGTGGATGAGGCTTTCTTAAACGATATAATATTACAGCAGATTATAACAAATAAATTAAATCAGTACATAGCATTCCTTTTGTTATAACCCAGGGGAACAAATACAGGTGAGCTGAGAGGAAAAGAGACCATTATAGATTATATAATAAAGGCCCTCCCGTTGATCATCGATTTGCTAGAGCGGGCCCAGTAACGTCTCCATTGGAGACTTTGTTGTTACTGTGTCCGGCATATCAAATACTCTTGGTAGCTTGCTGGGCTCTCTGAGAGGGGTGGAGGAATTGAACTCAGGTCGGCCATGTTGGCTGCATGCAAGGCAAACGCCCTATGCTTTAGCATATTGGAAACATACCCACAGACTAGTGATTGAAGGCAGATAGGTCGGGGGGGGGGGCTGGTAATGAACTTTTGGGAAATAATAAAACTATGGGGCTGGATTCATGGTACAGTGGGTAGGGCAAACTTGCCTTGCACTCAGGCAATCCAAGCTTTTTTTTAATATATATTTTTATTAGTGAAACACCATGAGGTGCAATTGTAGATTTACAAATTTTTGTGCTTGCATTTCGATTATACAATGATCAAATACCCATCCCTCTACCAGTGCCCATTTTCCACCACCATGGATCCCAGTATCCCTCCCACCCCCATCTCCCTCATCCCACCCTGCCTCTGTGGCAGGGCATTCCCTTTTGTTCTCTCTCTCCTTTTGGGTGTTGTGGTCTGCAACAGAGGCATTGAGTGGCAATCATGTTCGGTCCATAGTCTACTTTCAACATGCATCTCCCCTCCTGGGAGGATCCTCCAAACATCCTTTATTTGCTGTTCCATTCTCTATCTGAGCTTCCCTTTCCCCTAGAATGCCTGGCTGGCCTCTAAGCCATGGTGTAATCCTCCTGGTACTGATCTCGGCTATTCTTGGGCGACCCAAGTTTGATCCTGGCACTTCATATGTTCCCCAGCCCAGCACCTCCAGGAGTGTTTCCTGACTGCACACAAAGGAGTAAGCCCTGCGTCTAAACGAAAATAAAAAAGAGAGATAAATTGCATAAATTGAAGTAGTCCAAAGGCAGGAAGACCACAACCCTTTGAGTTGCAAATCCTAACCTCCTCAGAGATGAGAAAGCAAGGTAGCCCCAGATGCAGAAATTCAAGACCCCATCCAGAGAGGTGAGTAACTCTCTTTAGGAAGAATCTCAAGGTCGTGATAACAATACGGAAAGACCATCAACAGTGCAAGGCTTTGCTCTGACAATGCCCAGGTCAACTTTTATGTTTGCAGAGAACAACCGGAAACAACATATTTAGAGGAATTGTATAAAACCTCCATCTAGGGGCTGGAGTGATAGCACAGTGGGTAGGGCGTTTGCCTTGCATGCGGCCAACCCGTTTCATTCCCGGCATCCCATATGGTCTCCTGAGCACCGCCAAGAGTAATTCCTGAGTGCATGAGGCAGGAGTAACCCCTGTGCATTGTCGGATGTGACCCAAAGAAAAAAACTCCATCTAGAAGCCATTCAGGACTCGCTACCACAAGGGTTCACTGTTTCCCCCTTGAACAGGGAGCTTTGCTAGCTTGTCCTCGTAAGCCTGTATTCTCCGTTGAACACACCTCTCTCTATGTCTTTTTGCTTGCTTGTTATCCTGCTGGCTCTTTCAAGCCTGTGTTTTCTCTTGAATAGATATTTCTCTCCTCCCACTCTGGAAAAGTCTGAGATTTCACCTTTACGAGTCTTTCCTCATGTCTTTCTAAGTAAATTTCCCTCAATAGAAAGTATTTCGCTTCATTATTTCATTTCCTCCCGAAATTCTTTTCTGTGAGAGAAAATTTTGGATACTGAAAGGCTGTGCCAAAGTTAGGACTGACTTTCTTCACCCCGGCCTGAGTCTACAGAGATTTTCCCTGAGAAATTTGGTGGCAGGGATCATCTCCCATGATGTGCAGAACAAATGAACTGCAGGCAAAGATTGGTGGCTGCCTCAGAGAGCTGTCAAGACTTGACAGGGCTTATTCTTGGCTCTGATTCAGGGATTATTCCTGGTGAGCTAGGGGACCATATGGAGTTCTGGGGATTGAATCCTGCTAGCTGCATCCAAGGTAAGCATCCTACACGCCGTACTATCTCTTCAGCTAGGATAGGTCAAAAATTTAAACTACCATGCAGATACACATATAAGCAACAAGCATACACATACATTTCAGTTTGAATATGTTTAAATAAGTGAAAAAATGATTAGTTATGAGTACATCTACACACATTGCATTTCTACATAAATAAAATAAATATCTTTGTTTTATATGTAGTATCTATATTTCCAGTCCTCTATTACCCAGGTTCAATCCCCAGCACCCTCATGTCCCCCATATTTATAAATACACATATTTGGGCCATGATGGTGAATTGCGTGTACTCCCAGCTCTTATGCTTCAGGTTTGGCTCATGCAGTGCTTGGCACCACAGAGTGCTGGAGTTTGAACTCGGGCATTCCAGGTGCAAAGCATGTACTTAAATATTTGTGGTCCCTGTATTTATATTAAAATTTTATTGTATATTACGATGTTCTGGCATTTAAATGGATTTTTTTTTGGCTGGGAGAAACTGTGCTTCTGGAACTATGCAATTTTTGATGATAGTAGAGGTGTCACTAATATTCCTGATGTCAAGCCAATTAACTGAGTAACTCATTTTTCCTACATTTGGGCAGCACACCCCCGAAAGCAACAATTCTCTGCCTTTCTTATTTCAGGCTCAAGTAATGGATTATTAGGAGTTACTCCTAGAGCCTGTCTAAATTATTCAAATATCAATTCTAAACTGATGGCTCTTCTCTACTTTGTCTTTCTGAAGGAAACTTCAGGAAAGGCCATAGCCTTGGGATATCCCCATAGTGCCATCCCCATTGTCTCTTACCTGGTCTTTAGTTTATGGTTGGTGTTCTGATTCTAGGAATTGAGTACAGTAGTACTGTAGCATTGTCCTGCTCTGGCGGGTAACAGTCAGGTTTCCACTGTGAGACTTGTTATTACTGTTTTTGATATATCAACTATACCACGGGGAGCTTGCCAGGCTCTGCCGTGTGGGCAGGATACTCTTGGCAGCTTGCCAGGCTCTCCGAGCGGGATGGAGCAATCAAACTCGGGTTGGCTGCATGCAAGGCAAACGCCCTATCTGCTGTCGCTCTAGCCATACAAGCTTAATTTTCTGGATTGACAACTTTCCAAGAGTT